GGGGGGCTGGGAATCGAACCCGGGTCGCAGCGGTGAGAGTGCAGCACCCTAACCACTAGACCACCAGAGACCCCAATTGTAAAGAATACATCTGTTCTTAAAGATTTAAGTACATCTGTTCTTAAAGATTTAAGTTCACTTCATTGCAATGTAAGTAGGTTGTAATAAAACTCCTGCAGATCTGGCTTAAATCTCTGATTTATGCAAGCTGCGAAAGGGGGGAGAAAAAGGATGTACAGTATTTTTCGAAAGGCATGCCTTAATTGCTGTTGTGTCATACAAGAGGAATTCAAGGTTTGATTGCTACAAAAAGTTTCTTTTTTAGATAGTAGTTTATCAGAAATTCCATAAAAAGAAAAGCAGTTAGAAAATTTGCATGTATAGTTCAGTTTAATAGAAAAGTAAAAACTAGAGGAGCTGAAGGGAATTGAAATTACAGTGTCAGGTGACATTTTAAAGGTAATAAATAGAGTTTGACCCTACTAATAAGAAAATAATCCTGAAAAAATTAAAGGAGAAAACCCCCAGATTATTTTCTGTAATTTATAATGAAGTTTAGACTTTTTGGCTACAGAGGTTAGTATCGTTGCTGGGCTGACTGGCCTAACTTAGTCCTCCCAACCTCCCCACACCCAAGTGTGCCTGGAATTTTCCTCTTCTGGGCTTGGTGGTTGAGTGTCAGAGCTTGGGTGCACTCCTTATCAAGTGATTTATGAATATGGAGTAATACTGGATGTTTTCTAGAAAGAAATGTAAGAAGATGAAAGAAAAGTCCAATTGCACAGTGTAGGATATGACATAATATCACAGAATTTTGTTGAAAAAGTATTATTTAGTGAGCAGTTTTTCCATAGAGTAATATCTGTGCTTTGGCAGAAAGGAACTTTATGTTTGAAAAACATCTAATGGCACAGAATCAGTATTTTCAAAATTAGTGTTATTAGACAGTGGGGTTGTCTTGCATATTGTTGTTGTTTTTTTTGTTGTTGTTTGTTTAAATAAGATAAATGGCCTAATCTCTGTATGCATTTTGTGTTTGTGGTTTGTATTAAAAGAAAACGTAGTGTGTCAAGAAAGAATAGTATGAAATAATAATCGAGGTTACCCTTCCTTGACAACAAAACGTGACACTATTTAGTTTATACCAAAGTCAGTATTCAACAGAGACTAAGTTGCTGGCATCTATTAACAGTCTTCACAGGTCAGTGTAGTTCATTTTGAGTGTAGTCTGCTTACAAAAGTTCTAAAAGTATGTGGAGTTTTATGTTCCTTGTGTTTCAAAGACAGCTAAAATAAATAGTTCAGTTAGCTGAACAATAATATCTTTATTTGCTCTAACTTACTAATATTTGTGAGGTCTGAATGTGATTTTCTTTCTTTCTGCAAAAGCATTAGCAATGAAAATGAGATGCTCTAGAGAGTAGTGCAGGCCCGCAGTTAAGTGACATCTGTGCATGCTGACAGTGTTCAACTGAGTCCTCTGTGACACCTGTGAAACACTGATTCATCTTGAGAGATGAATTGTTAATGTTTTAGAAAAGAAAATCAAGTAAAATTCATGATTTTTTGTAACAATAGAGATGGACTAATTTTGACTTTCTCCCCTTTAAAATCAGTTATGTTTATGAACACAATTTCTGTAGCTGCTTATGAAAAGTCTTTTAAACTGCGTTTGTCTGAGATAAAATAGTTCTTTAGTGAAAAAGGTATTTATCTTTGGCAGGACATTCATGGACTCCTACAGCCAAATTCCCTAAACCTGTTTAAGACAATAAAAGTTTCTACAGTTTAGTAAAAATAGGATTAAACTATGAACTACGAGACCATAAAGTTGGACAACTTGACGCTGTGTGATATGATAGTCTGTTTTGATCAGCAGGCAAGGTCGTGATACTAGGCTGTTCGAGTAAAGAGATTTTGTTGTAAAATCTCTGCAAAGCTATGTGAATATAATTTCTTCCAACATTCCAAGTAAAATTGTGTAAAATAAAACTTGAATTGTGTTCCATTATTTTGTGCTTGGTCCTACAATAGTAGCAAAATCCCTCTAAAAGTTAGTGGATATTTTCACAGTGGTGCTTGGCTAGAATATTTGATTTCTTAAGGCTTAAATAATGGGCATGCTACATGTATTTAATTTCGTGAGGTACGGTTGAATTTTGATACAGGCTTAGCAAGATGTTTCTTATAAATCTGAAGAAATTTGTGGTAAGTGTAGGGCTAGCACCTTTATAAAATACGCTTGAGGAGGAAATGATGTTAGTGAAATAAAAACTCACGGGAAGGTTTTTTTAGAGCTAGAGTGATGCCAAATACAGTGCTGCTGCCTCGGCAGTCGGTTTGTATTGTGTTGGGATGGAGAGGGCAATGAGGTTGGTCTAGTAAGTTATCTGTCACGTTTGATACGTCATATATTTTTAATCTCTGATTTCCGTAATTACTAGTTAAAAATATACATGAATTGTACTCATCTTTGACTTAATTTAATGTAGTGACTAATGTTAACTATCGGTGAAAAACTTGAGAGTCAGCCATGCATTAGTAAAACTACTACATGGTTTGGAGTAATGAGTAGGGCAATTCTGAGTCCGCTATTTTTTTTGTAAACAAGTAATATTGTAAATTGGAACTGATATACAGTAGTATGAAGATTCCCATAGCACCTTTCTTTGGACTGACAGGAGTTTGGTCTGTGAAATGTTGAGCGGTAAAAGGATGACATATAGTACATTAATTTTCTCTGCTTTGTTTTTAGCTCAGCTCATTAATAGTTGAAAACTGTTACCATATAATTGTTCAGTGATTCTGTTAAATTAGTTAGTGATCTCTTTGTGGACAAAATTTAATCACTCTGTATGTTGACTTTATCAACAGGCTTGGAAGAGAGGTGAGAAAATAATAGAGAAGGGAATGAAAGTGAATCAGGTCCTCCACATTTTTCTTTTGGACCAAGGACAAGGTGCGTTTACAGGGCACCTTGGAAATACTTGTTTTGCTTCTGGGTTGTACAGATTTCATCATCTGCAGTTGATAAACCTGAACCTTCCATGATAGGAGGTTGGACTGGACACGTGCACTTGTGAAAAGCGAGCGTACAAGGAGAGGAACCTTTACTTTAGTTTTGGTCTATGTTCTCTGGTCTATGTCCTCTGTATGATGCTTTATAGTGGTGTGTCTGGGGTCTTTGTTCATTCTTCTGTAGTAACAGCAAAGTAGCTTTCAGTAGATATACCCTGACTTTCCTTCCCTTGCTCCCCAGATCACCCTCTGCATGGCAGGAAAGAGAAAGACACATGGGATGATGGAGTTCCTTTACGCACACCTCTCCAAAACTTCAGTGCAGCATATTTTCCACAAATGGAGTGACTATGAGAGAAACCTTTTAATTTTCTTTCTCTTTCTCACTCACAATTTTGCTAAGTAAAGAAGAAAATGTGGATGTTAAATACACAATTTTGGATATATGCTGGTTGAGGATGAGGCTTAGAGGGGAAGATGAATAAGATGGGGAGAGGAGGTTTGAATGTGACTGACAGTGGATTATAACTGCCTACAGGAAGTTATTTTTATCAGATCAGGTTTCCCTTTAACATTGTCTTCAACCTAAAGAATTTTGGTATAAGAGCTTTTAAAATCCCTGCCCAGTCGCAAGTCGTACAAGCATGTGTTGATGAGATCTGAGGTCCTACAGAAAACACCATTTAGGATACAGTGATAGCATCCTCTAGCTTTCATTGTTTGACATCTCCACAGATAGCTTACACACAGAATACAATGCACGCTTTTGATTTAATTTATTTGCAGTATCATTTGATCCCGGTCAATAGTTCGACCCACTTAAATAGCAAGCAGGGGAAAAAATGAAACCAGTTTTGAGTAAGTCTTTCTCAGTCAAGTGGGTTGTCTGGCAAGCCAAGAGTATAATAAATAGATTTGGTGGCTATTTACAGATTCACACACTGGAAAACAGAGAGCTGTGTTTCACAGTTTCATGATATAATTCAGACAGTGTTGCATCCAGATAATAAAATTACACCTGTGTTTTTATCTCAGCCAGAAAGGCATTTTTTTTTGGCTTCTGCTTTGATACTTTCCCATAAAAATAAACATTACAACAGAAAATTGATGAAATTTGTCACATTGTGTGAAGAAATATTTAAGAAGACATGTCTAAGTATATACATATACGTGTTATCATAGCTTTTGCCTTTAGTCGTGTTCTGTCTCCTTCATAGTACGTATACCTGGAATAATTTCATGAGAACTCGTGGTTGGAGGTCTGGCTTGTTTGTCACTGAGAGGAAAATTTAACCTAGATTTAATGTAGGTTCAACTTCTGCTGTTGTTTAAAATATTTTATATAAATAAACTTATTTGCATTATTTATGTGTGAGTATTAGCATTTATTTCACAAGCGTGTACATAGATGCATATACACAACCGTATTTTGTTAAACAGTTAAAAAAGCATCATAGTTCTCTATGATGAACTGCTGTGGTTTCACTTTGGTGCAGTGGGTATCAAAATTGCCCAGGTGACCTTTCTGAGATGTTATTCACTGTTCTGGTGCTCTGCTGATATGAGGATGCCAGCAGGGTCAGTAACTGAGTGTGGCCCATTTAACTGCCTGTGACTGGCTCAGCCAAGGTCATGTCTTGCTGGACCATGAAGATGTTTGCCTTCTGAGTTGGAGCACTTTGAATTCCTTTTACATCCTCTTGTTTCTGAAGGACATAGTCATATCATTCTCAGTCTAGTCAAAAGGTTAAAGGATCATTCCTGATGCCCTTTCAGTGGTGCCTGGCAGTCACTTTGTGCATGGTGCTCATTAACCCTCACTCCTCTGTAGGGCACCCACCTTCACACCCTGGCTGAACTAATGGTGCCAGGTCTCATGGTTGTAGAAATGTGACTAGAAAGTCAATCCATGAGCAGACTAACTGTGTAAATAGATGGTGGAAATGAAAGCTATTATAAAACCCATGTGCATTGTGCTAACACTTATCGTGTTGCTTGACCTTCACTTTCTCTGGTGTCAAGCGCAAAACCATCTTGCGCTCATCTCACAGTTTTCTAATCAGTGCCCCCACAGCTGAGAAGATGACACTAAGCTGTGCCTGACCCAGCTTGTGACACCATGTGAACTGCCTTGTCTCTTGTGAATAAAATGAAAATTCTGTCATTTTGGATCATATCCTTACCAATAAAAGTACGGAATGGGAAACTGTTATTGATTTTTTTCGTTAGGCCAGGATTTTGCCATCAGCTGTAGGTGGGAGTTGTACTGCTGCAATAGTGCTCCCCGTGACTGTCTCAGCCTATAAATGGAAACCTTCAGCATGCAAAGTTTGCTTTTCATATTGGATATAGTAACGCTAGGTGAGAATGTTGGAAAAACTGTCTACATGGAAACAGCCTCTGGATACTTCAGGCAGAGAAGATCTACAACAAAAGGCACTCTCAACAGAAATGATTTTTACATTGCCAGATGGTATAAGGTAATTTGGACAGAAAAAGATACATTGTGTACCCCAAGGTGCTTTCATTGTGCTTTGAATATAAAATGCGTGAAGTCTTAGGTGCAAGAGTTGGAACTGACAGTAGCTTAGAGCTGTGGTTTTACCTATTTTTTATTATGATTTGTAGTTATAACTCAGCTGAAAAAGGAACTTGCTTGGAGCCAGAGCTGTATACTTGTCCTGTATGCTTGTCTCCCCATTGAAATCCCATTATCTGGGTTTGGAATTATTAAGGTGTGAGAAGCTTGCATTTCATTTCAGTTTGAGTATGTCTAGGTTGTTGTTGTTGGTTTTTTGTGTTTGTTTGGGTTTTTTGTTTGTTTTGTTTTGTTTGGGTTTTTGTTTTTGTTTGGTTGGTTTGGTTTGTTTTTTTCTGAATGAGGGCTGATACCTTCTTATTTCAAGTGGCCTTATTTCAAAATTGGTTTTCTTTTTTTTTTTTTTGCTTGTTTCTGGCATGGCTCAGCATTAAAAAAGATAAAAAAATATATACAAAAGGTTTTCAAGGTTCTAGTGTGATGTTTCATTCTGGTGTAACCTGCCTGTCCTATGTATCTAGTTCTCCAGCTGTAGCCCAATAGCACCAAACTGAATTAGCTTATCACTGATAATGAGGTTTTTCTTTGCACTTCCTTGTTTTTAGATGTAATTTTGAAAAAATCTTGTACCTCACCTGGTGGGTGGATGAGAGAGGAGATGAGCTATTCTCTTTTTTTCAAATAATAAAAACAAAATAAAAAAAGAAGAGGAAAAAGCCCAGTTCAATGAAAGCTTTTGACATGATTCTAGAATGCATAACCCTGGGCAAAAAGGGCCAGTTATTGGAGTAGTTCTTGAGTAATCTAATTGTTTGATAAGGATCCTTGCTGGTTTAAGTTGTTGGTTGTTGGAAACATTCCATTTCTAAATTTGTGCCTTACTGCATACCCTGAGGTATGTGTACAACACACTGTAATTGCACAGTTTATTATTTTATTAATGAGAGCTGTGATAATGTGTTGGCTCATGAATTCCCTCCAGTCCAGGTATGGTCTCCTAATTGCCCAGGGATCTGTGATGCTGTCTTTTTTTCTGGGGATAGTGAAAGAGAGCAAAAGCAAAGCCTTTCCAAGCATGGTTTACAAAACTCAGACCTTGCCCTAAAGCCTGCATTTGGTGTGATAATGCAACCAAAGGCTGGAAAGACCAGATACCTCTATAACACATACCTAATGAATAATAACAGAAGCAGCAGAAGTAAATTCTTACTATATAATCCTGAGTACCTGAGACTTTGCCAGCTGGAAGGAGAGGGCTGCGCACCTTAATTGCCCTTCCTAACCATAACAGAGCACCCCTCAGTACTTCTTTGATCTGGGTCTCTCCTGCCTGCCTCTTTGCCTGAGTGGCTGGAAGACACTGACTTCATTTGCTGTAAGGCACACAACAGTGAGCAAGCATCTGGCATGCAACAGCAGCTCCTAGTTTTCATGTGCCTCAGGGGTAGCAGGCATGCTAGGTTGCCTATTCCCATGTTCTGGAAACTATTTCTGTATGCCAATACCAGATCTGCAGTACAAGAGGAGGGAGCAGCATCAGTAGAGGTGTGGTCTGTGGAGTAGTTGGGGAAATCCAATTTACTGTTTCTGTAACTCTGGAGACAAAACTTTCCCGTAAAAAGCCATGGCAAAACACCACATCCTCAAACAACTAGCACTTGCTCCACAGCTCTGCCTGGCTTTCCTTGTGTGCTGTAAACTTCTGACACTGGATTTGCCAGATCCGGGGAAGCTCTCTGAGGACGTTGTGGCAGCCCGGGTAACCCCAGCCCAGGACGGTGGGATGGTGAGTTCCCGCTGAGCATATTACAGGCTGCCTCCTTACTCTAGTGGTTGGTACAGTTTTCTCCAGCTCCTGAAACTGCTCATTACGGAACTTGGCTCTTCTACAAGGGCTTTTCATAGCTGTAGCCCCTGTGGCTTGATGCAGCATGCTTTTCTGGAGGAACAGATGGTATATTACGTAGAAAGTTACTGTATTTTTGTATCACTGATTTGTATTTATTTATTTTGCTGTTCATCTTCCTATTTTTTTTTAAGGTGAGCGTATAGGGTAAGTGCAGAACTTGGACTCAGTATTGTATTTGCCTTTGATATATTCAACTCTATATTTGTGTATGTGTGCAGTATTTTACACTGAGTAGTGTGTGCTTTCTGAAGTTTTAGTGAGCAGATTTTCCTAATTTGGATTGAAATTAGTCAAAATACTATAAGAGGAAAAAAGCATTTTCCCCTTAGAAGTAAGAAGATTTTTGAAAGGAAAAGTTAATATCTTCTTAAGCTTTGTGCTCACTGGTGTACAGTTTAGTTTTTAAGTCAGTAGATGTGTTCTCTGTGTCTAGTCTTTGGGGGTTTTTTAAATTGATATCATCTGGTCAGTTTGACAGAAAATGCTATTCCCATAAGAAAAATATTTATTCTAAATATTTTTGTTGCCTAGGATCTTGTTGAATTCATAAGATACAGAAGCAGTCAAGTTGATTTAATATTTTTTAACATTTTGAAAGTGTTTTCTTTTTGTTTCCATGAAAACAATTTAAATTAATATTTTAACAATTGCTTTTGGTTTCTTGAAGTTAGGTTACCCATTGTTGAAAATTTCAGGTTCTTAAACACGAGTTTCAAATCTGCTTTATCTTTATTAGACATTTGAAATAAAACATAAATACTTCAGCAAGCCCCAAAATAAGAGTTTGCCTTTTCCCCCACTTACCTTCCAGGATTTAACGTGTTTTGTCTGAAGAATTTCTGTAAGTCATTACTTATAAAAGATAGTTACAATCACAGGGTTTTGATACCTGTTGGCCAAATCACTTTTATGTAATAACTTTTATTTTTTATGTGAATATATATTATATACACACACGTGTACGTATAACTTTGTATCTATACACTCACATATACATGAGTGTATGTATGTAAATGTGTATAGACACACCACAGACACATATACACTCACACACTATATCTCTATGAACACTCACACGCATCTGCACTGCAGGGGATCATCCCATTTGAATTTTAATGTTTTCATCCTAAACCTGATCCTTACCACATAATGGGAACTTTCCTCTTGGCAATGTAGCATTTTCCCAGTAGCTTCTGAGTGGGAGGCTGCACGTCCCTGTGCCTGAAGACCCCTGAAGTACACGGGGGGAGAGAGACCAGAACTGGTGGCAGAGTCCTCCTGGGCCAGGAGAGCATGATATGAGGCAACTAAGTGCAGTAGATGAGAAGACAAAATGATGAGGAATACTTCAGAAATTTCTGATTGCTGCTGCTTCAGTGGTGGTTGGATCATGCCCTTCAGCGTGGGCAGTCTCTCATGCGGCATCCTGTGTACTGCTGTACTTAGGCTGGATACCCAGTTCACAGTGAAAAACAAGCCCCCCCCTTCTGTTTTTTGCCACATATATTTTGAAGATAAATAATTACCTGCTATCAGGTGTTTGGTAGCTTGGACTTTGTCATCTTTGTTTGCCTTCCTCATAAAATTGCTGCAGGATATTTTAATTATCTGCTTATAGGGTTGTTTGAGAGAATTCCCTTAGTGATGAGACAGTTCAACAAAGAAATCTCAAGATAATGGCTTTTCCACTTGCACTTCTCAAATATGCCTTCAAATAGAAATGAAATAATTATAAAAACCTTGTACGTAGTTTAAATTGCCAAGTGATACAATGTAGTGGCTTTGTTCTAAGTATTGCACAATGGGTTGTAAAGGGTAAGAGTGTAACTGAGTTTGTGGGAATCTGTAAGGGTGCTAGATATTTTGTAGGCAGCCAACTTTGTTTCAGAGTTGTTTTCC